AGGGATGCGTTCCGAGAGGAGATGGAGACTGGTCTACGATGGAAGGTCTTGGGGAAATATTTGGTTCTCGTTTCGCAGACTATATTTAGAAGGGGAATGCTTTCTCTCCGGGCAAGGGTAAATCATTTTAGATACGAGCAAAGTCGGAATAGTTGAGTTCAGAGCAAGGGTATTCAACAACTGTATAATAAGCAATTCGACTGAACCATTATTTTAACGATCCACATTGCATCAGAGAATGATAGGTCAGGCTGATTATAAGAGGATAACATAGCACTTTTTTTATGTGTGTCAAAATATTACATAATTATGCACTAACAGAACCAAACTTAATTGTATATACCTCACACAAACCAGAGCAACACTGTGCATGGTATGTTTGCTGTAGTATCAGCAATGAACAGTCTTTACTACGAAGTCAACGTATAACCAACGTATAACCTCTCGCAAAATCATGCTCTTTGTATGACCGGTATACCAGTCTGTCGGTGAGTCGTCTTTGATGACAGACTGACCCATACCTCAATCACAAACCCTATGGCATAAAATTATCATCTGACGTCATCCCAAGATCCTATCTCCTCTCGATCACCGTGGAGGATGAGGAACTTAAGATGCTGGCACGCGGGACCTCAAGAAGTTTTGAGATGTTCAGTGCCATGTATACCTTGGCAGCTTACAACCCTGTGGTATGCAGCTTATCAACACCGCCGTAGACGTCATCGGAAAAGTGATCCCGAGACTCGGGCTGTCATTTTATCACGTGATCTAACTTCTTATATCCTTTCTCTTGATATCCTTGCCATTTTGTCGCGATAACTTGAGCCAAGTTATTCTTGAAATGCTATATTGTGCGTCGAGATGATAGGGGAGAGGTGGCCAGAAGGTCAGATGGTTGGCTAGGGCTATTGAACTTGATGAGGAACAGAATGGCAGGGTGCGGGAGAAGGGGACTTGATGGGTAAGAGATAAAGAAGAGTATAAGACTATAAAGAGAGAATATAAGGGTATAAACTGTAATGGAATTTTACAGAGGTCTCACATTGGGCAGTCTAGGTGCTCTAGTAATGGGAAGATTACAATCATTATATTGTAAGAAACAAAAACGAGAACAAGGCGTGAAAGGGCAGTCGCATTTTTGTGTGCTCATCACTAATTCTTCATGAGTCGATGTCTAGAGTAGAAGATGGAACTTGGCAATCTAAATGTACTCGTGTCGTCATCTTGTTTCTTATGTCATGATTATATAATCAGAAAGTTCATCAGGACTTTGGACCTTTTTCCATGACGAGTCATGATCTGAGGCATTATGAACTTTTGTCGAACCGCAGTCTAGTCGACGGCTAGTCCTTATATCATGTTTTAAAAGCAGGTGTCCTCGTGGAGAGGGTCGGGTGAAGCCGCACAAGTACATTTTTTAGCCGAATGGCACACCACAGTGACAAAATAAATTAATGTTGAAACATTTTCACAGTATCTACTTTGGGCTTTTGAACCGCGAGGGACGTTCATCTCCATGAAGTTATTGCATTGTTGCCAAGTTTCACCATTAAGGCATTAACGGTTTAAACCACAGAGACCTGTTTTTAAAACCACTTACAGGTGCTATTGTTGTGGTATCATCATTTAAATGGGTGAGGTTTCCTCTTGGGTTGCAAAGGCAAGTGCTTACTGTTTAAATATTACTCGAGTTTATCTTGTAAAAGTTAGAGATATACTGATTCGAGAGGTGATCTCAAAACGAATAAAACCTGGCGCCAGATACTGCATTAGTTTTGTATGAGACACTGCGTATAGATCTCCTGCCACCAAAAGCCATTGCTGCTGTTGGGTATCTAGTGTATTTGGGAGGGGTCAGAAATCATTGATGCTATGAATGGCAAAGGTTCACCAACGGAACCATGAAGGGTTGTCTTTTCTCATCAAAGTCACACTCTTTTCTGACACAAGGGCAGCGGAGAAAATGAATCCCAGACCCATTGCACTCTCTCTCATGCCTCAACGTCACACACACTGTTGCATGACTAAACAGACCACTGTCTGCCATGGAACTTTGGCTATGGCGAGGAGAGTGACCACAGGGAGGGGGAACAAACCTGCCATAAATACAGGACTGGCGTGTCTTCTTCTCTTTCCCTCTTTGAACAAAAACAGTTTTGTCGTCAATCAGGATATGAGTTGTCTTCAATCGAGACAATTTTAATTCTACAGAGCATGTTTCATCAATGTGACGGGATGTTCTACTGTGTCATGGAGGGTAATAAATGTCACTTAGAACATCTCAATCCGTTTGAAGAATGCTCCGCATGAGGACGTGGTGATGATTTGAGTCTATGGTGCTGTGGATGAATTGATTTCGTGAAGGGGGTTCTTTATAGAGTCATCGATTCATGTCCCTGGATATTAAGAGTTTGGGGTTCAATTTCTGCTGAACGGACCGAGTCATGAAGACGGACATCGGACGGTACAATCCTCAAAGAGCTTCTCGTTTTCAATGAAGTTTCTGCCTTTCTGGTCATTTCCTACATCTCTCAATCGAGGAGTCGATAATTATGATCTGGTATAATTTATGTCGTTCATGATAACATGGGTCGTAAATCAATAATTTGCCATGGGGAAACTAAAGGACTACAATATCTTCAAATTAACAAACAGCATTAACATTGTCTGCTATTTCCCCAAATTACACTTTTTGAATATTTTATTCTGATCACATTGTGGTTAGAAGAACAGGCTTGTTCTTCTTCGTATATTGTTCATCGTTTACAGCTGAAAATGATTAGAATTGATCAAATTAGGCCGAATTACACTTACACTAGATTGCCTGTCCTGTTTCTCATCTCATGTTAACGTTAAGGGCGTATACAGAATGCATACGGAAAACATCAAAATAGTGGCCTGCAATTCACTGATAATGAGGTACACTTAATAATGTTAATAAAACCCTATTTTCTGCTGTATGTTATTGACCGACGCCTAAAAGGGAAATAGTCATTGCTACTTGCTGGCACGCGTTAGCAATATCTGAACTCCATGAGAGCCATGAACTGTGAACGACCCTCCGTAAAGTAGGGATTGTGCCTCTGGTATGAGTATGTGTATCCTCATCGTTAAAGAGGAAAAGTATGACTTTTACTGTAATTTATTGTTATCATTTGTATCTAAATAAATATACACGACATTTATTTATATACACTGCATCTGTGAACCCTTTATCAAAGTAGGGTGGATGTTAAGCCTCGGTCACAAATGCCATTACGAACTGCTACGAACGCCGTACGAACGATTTTCAGACAATGGAAATTCGGGAAGACAATGGAACGTACGAACCTTTGTGACCATAGCTTTATATCCAGAGTTCTTTTCCAAAATGAGTCATCAAATCCTATCCTGTCCTCTATCATTATTAGCAAGACTATTGCCCCTTTGACAATCTCCACATAATTATGTTCAAATTGTCTGGAAAGTGTTCTGGAATAAAATGAATCTGTTGAAATGTGATAGGTTTGGTGAGACGGTGATAAGCGATCCTCGTTACCGAGTCCGACTAACTCACTTTCCTGTTGAAACTTCAGAGGCGCCAAAAGTCTCTTTTTTTATAAATCTGAACAAACTTTTTTGGTGTGTCGTCTGACTCAGCGACCGACCATGATTCAATTTCGAATGGATAGGGACCCCACTAGGCTAGTATTTAACAGGCTGTATTTAACGCGGGGATATTCAAACTTTCGATTGACTAGTTTCCTCGTCAGACAGAAATGATGCGCTCCACTATGGAGCTACTCAATGTCCACACCAAGCCCAAATAATTATATCTTGGCACGATTGGGGAGGAGGGGGGGGGGGGGGGGGGGGGGGGGGTACTGCCAGCTTTTAAAAACCATATGAGATAACCCTAGTCGAAGGGGCAGAGCCTCATACCATAGACCTACAACATGCTCAAACTCTCTAAAATGCATATGAATGAAAATCCACTTTTGGTGGTTATATTTGGAAACACTTCGTTTGGAGTGGATCCAAGCTCATAGCTCTCGAAAGAATTTAACAACTATTTTTGAGTGGATTCCGCAATGAATTGCAGACTTTTGAGTGGATTTAACTCTTAAGGAGATGATCCCAAATACGACTCATACGAAAGTACATTTCCATTTTAGACCTTTAATAATTGTAGATGAAGAAACCAAATACTCACAGAGTGCATGATAAAGGGTACAATGACTCGACAGATTGGAGCTAGGCCGGGCAGATTGTTGTCAGCTTTTGCTCTAGTAAAATTTCTCCAGAGGTTTGAATGATTATAGAGTGTTTTTTCTAGGAAGATAGGAGGTCTTCTTTGTACAAATCTTATTAATTTCGTACGTGTACAACTATGAAATTAATAACTGGCTTGCACTATGAGTGACCATGGATTAAGAACGAATTATCAATTCTTTGTTCGCCAGAAAAACCTCCCCCAAAACATTCGATTTAATCTAACTACATGTATCTCTCTTTCTATGTCTCACTATTTCTCTCTCTTCTCTCTCTCTCTCTCTCTCTCTCTCTCTCTCTCTCTCTCTCTCTCTCTCTCTCTCTTCGTCCCTCTCCCTCTTCATATCAACATCTCATATCATTTCACTTACTCATGAATATGGAACAAATATTCATTGACAGAAATCGAGCTGACATAGACGGCTCACTAAGCAAGCATCGCCCCATCAGGCCTATTTAGGTTTTTAAAACTATATTTTGTGTTTTTGGTTGAACCGCAGTTAAACTGCTTATAAGATGTTTAATAGTACCTCTCATTCGCTCTCACTTATCCGTAAAAAAATATATCTCTGTCTCATTAAACATCCAATTCATTCCTCACAATATTATTATCTAGGGCGACCTTTCTGATCGATCATCCTTCCTTTCTGTCTTCATTCGCATGGGGAAAACTATCTCATCATCAGTCTATACACGGCAATTCACATCTCTGTACTGTTTACAAACAAAGCAAACTTGAAAAAGTAATGTAAGTTTTCATTGTGCCAACTGGCAAACCGTTTAATTGATATTTTTATTGCAAGTTTTTTTTCTTTTTTTCCACAATATAAAAAATACATATCTGTTATTTACAAAAATTCAATTAAATTAATAACAAAATGAACGTATAATCCCACATCAAAATTCATGAGGAACAATATATTACTAAATTCAACAATCTTCGGGTACTGAGGTATCTGAGTGATGACAAATAAATAGGACATGTCAAAAGACAACTTCAGTTTTTTCACACAAACATTTAAACAAGAGAAATAAAGACACATATATATATTGACCTATGCCTAATTTTTGGTCACCGCTTAAAATGATTCAGGCACAACGGTGGACTTTGAATTGAAATTTTTCAACATTACTGGAAGGATCAGGGGGTTAGAAATGTCTTTAATTGTGTTGTTGGCTTCAATATAATAAGGGAAATGCACCATATTAACCATAACTTCAAGTACAGACATTTCTTGGTAACTTCTGAATAACTAGATATCTCTTCAAGCACTTGAAAATTCCAATATAGAAATTCGCAAATTCATTTTAAATTTCATTTTTTCCAAACCTGAGCAAATAAAGATTGCAATTAAGAATTGAAATTCAAAATTCAAATTCAAAAATTAAACATCAAATTTAAATTTTTAATTATTATATACTATCGGACCAGAATTGACACCAACCTCAAAACAAAATGAGAAATGAAAATCAATGATGGCAATTTAAAAACTTCACAGAAGAGAAAAGGATCAACATTTTCCATACTGTTGATTCATAAATGTATGTAATGTATGTATCTATTCCAGTAATTCACATATCCAGCCCAAGAATATGTTAGATTCCCAAATAAAAGTAATAATCCATACATCTGATTTTTAAAAATACTAATATACTTTCAGTCAAAATGTTGAAATAAAATTCATGTGTTATTGCAACATGAATTCCTTTTCAATACATAATTTTCAATGAATAATAATGCAGGGCTGATAATTAAATTGCTGTTAAAACTGGAAAAGATGTTGAGATTAAATGGGCAACTTTTAAATTGCAAAATTTGATTTTAAGTAGAACTATTGAATGCAACTGATATCGAAGTGGCGTAAAGTCACATACAAATGTCATTATTTGGTTTGCAACAATATATAGATTTATTAAATAGGGCATGAAGGATGTGACATACATGTTGAAATAGGACAAATTTGTAAATATCATACTCACAAGGCAACTGCAAAGAGTTGCTGGTATTTATTGCATTTTAGCAAACAAGCTTATAAAATTCTTAAGGGAATTGGCACATTTTAAGGTACAAAATACTTTGCTATCCCTTGCAAAATGCTTGCACCTAACATGTGCAAATCGACCATGTCACACCCTTCTTCAATGGGGTATTATACATTCATTCAATAGGACAATCTCACATTTGCAGCAAGAGGCAGCAAATTTAATATCACACACTGGGTTTTAATGTTTTCAAGTTATTTCTTCACCTAATGAACAAGCCTCAACGAGGTTATATATAAATAAATAACCAGCATCTTTTTATCTCAAAATATTCACACCTTAATACTTTGCTGCCCCTTTAAAATACGACAACATGACATCACTTAGCAAAAACAGGGAAATATTGCACTTGATAAAACGCGACCACAACACAGCCACTAGCACCGCATCTGTAATGGCAGAATACGCGATAAATAAAACGACACATTTGGAAGGTTACTCCAATTGTGCGTTGCAGGAGTCCATGGTAGGATGATGCATAACAAGGTTTGTTAGCTGTGTTGGGCTATAGGGACGAACAAACAGTCTCTAACTTCTCCATCCTCAATACCAGAGTCTGATGAATCAGAATCTTGTGAGTTTGAGAGTAATTTGACACTGGATAATGTCTGTGAAACAACATCACTTGCACGATTGTGAATGAAACAGTTTGAGGGGTGCGATACTGTGCATTGGCATGTCTGTGCCTTGTGGATGTCCTCATGGCTAGAGTTGGTGCTGCTGTATGGGCTATTGTCCAAGCTATTCATAGAATGTCCAGTGCAGATGATCTTTTGGCCACCATTGTCTGTTTGACCCTCCCTCATCCAGGGATGATCAAGAATGTCCTCAATCTTCAATCTGTGCTGGGGTTTCACCTGGAGCATCGACTGGATCAGATTTTTCAGCGAATGTGACAAACCGTCGCGGAAATAGAGTTCAGCTCTGCAGATTTCATCGTCTTTTTCAAAAGGAATGTCACCACAAGCCATATCGAAGAGTAAGATTCCAAGTGACCAGATTGTAGCTGAGCGTCCATGGTATCTGTGTGACGTAATCCATTCAGGTGGGCTGTACACTCTAGTGCCTGCAGAGGAGACAAAAATTAAGATACTTCATTAGAAAATGTTTTACATAATTAACGGTAAACACTTTAAAATCTCTATAAAACACTACATCACAATTATATACATCAGTATTTCCATTCCATATTCTTCACTGCAATATGATCTGGGGGAGAGTTCACCGAGGCATAAGTAAAATTTCTTCCCAGGTTTGCATAGCTTACTAGGCTTGGGTTGAATAGTTCACCCGCCGTTTGACGTCATACCCTGAATGGCTGTGTAAATGTCAGTCGCAAGCTCCTTCTCCCCGAGACCCAGTAAGTGAAGTGCACTATACACACACATGTATGTGTACACACTAGTGAATTCCATACATTTCTTCCCCTGGCTACACTATGTTCTCTCAATATGGAGTGAAAACATTTTCAACAGTGAATTGAACATTACTTTCAAGATCATGATCAACCGAGTCTATATACAACTGTAGATATCATTACCGTAGTCTCCAAGAACATGTACTGTACATCAGATCCTATTTTCTTTGAAATAAACAGTTATTAGTTATATTTTACTTGCTCAATATCTGGGACTCCAGTGTAAGAACATATTGTCTTTTCTGATCTTTATTCTACCAAAAAGTCCAAATAGAATTAGATGTACATGTAGATCTGAAATATATGAGTATGACTCATATATTTGCTGCATATTATTAGTTCTTTTCAACTTTTTTTAAATTTCTTTGTTAAAAACTACATTAATTTGCTTTCCAAACTCACCATCAAAATCTTTGTAGACTGTATCCTTAAGGAAAGCACCAGAGCCAAAGTCTATGATTTTAAGATGTCCAGTTTTCAGGTCAACCAATACATTTTCATCTTTCAAGTCTCTATGTACTACACCAGCCTCATGGCAGCGGCTTGTAGTTTCCACAATTTGCTTGAAGAATCGACGACAAAGTTCTTCTGGTAAAGGTCCTTGCTCAGTGATGAAGTCGAATAGATCTTTGGCAGGATCAGGCCTTTCCATAACAATCACAAAACTGTCGGGTTGTTCGAAATAGTCCAACATACTAATACAGCCATGGATTGAAGAAACACGCTTCAGAAGGCTAACCTCGAGTGGAACTTCTCTGCCATTGAGCTGTTAAAATAAAATAAGGTAAAAAGCAACATTAGACATATGAAAAAATATAGAAACGGACATTAATATGCAAGTATAAATTAGAATCTTTAAGGCTTGATAACAACTTAACAAGAAGAAAAAAATTGCCTAAAAAGTACGTCTTGTCTAAAAATATGCTAGTTTTAACTTGTAATCACTGGTAATGTAGGACAGAGAAAAGTTGGAAATTCTAAAAAAATTAAGATGATCTGAGGAAATATATGGTGGTGTTGCAACTAAAAACTTTAGTTTGCATTTAGTTCATAAATAGAAATTAAATAAAAAGGGTTTGGCGTTCAAAACTGAATGTAAAATTGTCTTTGAAACAAGGGAGTGAACAGCTGATTGTGACCGGCGAAATTGACTTTATTTGGCATTCCGCCAGCTGATGCGAACGAACCGGCCGGTCTAGTCTGCGTTTACAAGTCTTTGTTCAACAGATCGCTTTGAGTGTGTGCGAGTGTAATGTGGAAATGTGTAACACTCACCTGCACCCAGTCGTTGACTTTCTCTTTATTCACCAACTTGATTGCGACCTGAAAAATACAAAAGAGAAATAGAAATGTTAATGAAGTTTCGAGTAAAAAAACTGGAACAGCATTTATTACAATCTACGATCATTGGAATTAGACCTCTAGTGCAAGTTGAATATTTTCATTTTACACATTTGAGTTGCACATCACAATACAATAACATTCGCGGTATACATAAACGCACTGCAGTAGTAGTCTACTCACCGGCAAATTGTCAGATATCCTAGACCCTGCGTAGACTGTACCAAATCCACCGCTTCCAATCAAAGAACCGATGCTGTACGTCTTCTCAAATGATTCTCGCTGCTTTCCTGTAATACAAAATTAGAGAAAAATTTCTGTTATAAACTGAAGTCTTGGAAATGAGAGAAAAATACAAAGATCAGACAGAGAAAGAGCAGATTCTCGTACATTACAGAAATAACATCAACATTAGAAATTTGAAATTGAACTTACCGTTGCGATCAGCTGTTGTTCGTCCCATGTTTTTAACGTTCATGGAGCAAATTTCGGCAAACTGACTTGTCAGCTTCCGAGGTAGATTCATGTTGAATTTAGAGGAGAAATAATATTGTCACGCTGTTGTGATGAATATAGAATACGATCCGTAAGTATAATTCCAAGAGCGTCGGTTAGGTGCTTTCACGACTAGAGTTGTGTTTACTACTGAAGTATTTGATGATCGTCGGGTGACTATAGTAAAAATTGCCACGACCACACAAAACACTAAACACAGGCCAAACCGTACCGTGCATGCAAGCCGGGTGTACCCGCCTCATAACATTGAGGCTCGGAGTCAGTGACTGATGAATATTCATAAGAAGTATATCCATCCGCACGGTGATCAAAACAATGCTCTTTTGGTACCTGTTTTCTTATAAAACATGAACTAAACGTTGAAAATGTGATCAAATGATGTTCATTAGGTTTTCTGAATGAATTTGTGATGATTTGCAGGTCATCAAATGCCTTTGTAAAATGATCAAATGTTGGTACTAATTTAGTCGCGTATGCCCTTTCCCGCTTTTATCAACGGTTAACGTGTAGGATATCGTCGCTTGTGATTGGATGTTTTTTCTAAACCAGCGGACGAATCAAACTGATTGTGTTGATGCATATTCATAAGGTTGAACGTACATTATAGCGCTCGATTCTCCCCGCCAGGTGAACTTTTGACCGCGAAATCTCGGTGTGCATAAAAAATGTCTGGATGATTTTGCCTGCAAACTGCTTTTTTCTTCAGCGTTTTAATATGTCTGCCACAATTATGTGAAAGAACATTCGTACATTCATTTCAGATGAAAATTATCGTATTTTGACGGTACTTCTACAAGTTATTAAGAAATCATAATTTCTCTTATCATGAATAATAGAAATATGTAGCATTTACAGACAAGAACTAGATCTATAACATGAGCTTATAATTATGAATACGGCTGTGTAAGTTACTATTAGACCTTACTTTATTCAATTAGAAAAGAACAAAGAAAAAAGCTTTCCAAAGTAGACAAACTTCTTCAACGGGGAAACATATGTTCTTCAGTATTGAATACATTGCAGATTCCAGGATTGTAAGACTGACATGATTTCAAATGAAAAACTTCAATCATGTACTTGGGCATGAAGCCAAGCAGTGCCCGTCGCGCAAACGACCGAGACCATGAATACAGCATAATTATGCCTAACTCTGCGACATAACATCGCGTGCTACGTCGATAAACCGCCCAACGTAAGCGCGCCTGCCTGGTTCGATTCAAAGCAGACGACATGCTCTCATAACAGTCGTTGAGGACGCTAGACCTCTCACCAATATGATATTATTATGAGCGACAATTTTTTTTTTTTTTACTGTACTTTATCCTCGTTGGACTACAATTTTTATGTACTAGAGCTACTCGGATTTCTAGGCACTTAACTTTTTATATTTTACATTTCAACACTTTAATTCAACATGCATTTTTCCATTGACGATCATCAGTGAACTATTTCCAATCTTTCAATATTATCAATCATAATTATGCATAATTACAATTGGTAATCTTCTAAACATTTAAACTGAATTGCATGTAGTCATACTTATTCCATTAATTGTATTGTTTCCATGTATTTTTAGCTTTGTTGGTTGTTTTCATATTTGTTATTATGCTCATGGTACATGTAAATACAATCTTTTCTAGTCTGATCATTCTATTTTCCTACAAAGATCTCTTTTCCAAGCCACAGTTTAAGTTTATATCTTTTTCTTAATTTGTCTAAAATTATTATTAATTTCATTATTATTATTATTATTATTATTATTATTGTTATTATTTGATTATCATTATTATCAATATTATTATTACTATCAATATTATCAATACTATAATTATATCCCTTTCATTCTCTCTCTCTCTCTCTCCAAAGACTCAATTACATGTAGTTCCAATGACGTCAAACGATTATTTCCTCATGACAACATTCCAATCAAAACAATATTTAACTTAATGAGACGTCACAACATCAAACAAGGAAGGATTCTTTATGATAATGTTAGACCTATACTATCCACTCAAAACATCAGGCTCGCATACATGCACACATAAATATATAGTATATTTGTTGTGATATAATACTTTCGACTATTTTGCATAAGTAAAACTTGTCAGCCCATGAATGTCAATAGAGTATCCTAAGAACGGATCAACACTAACTTCATACACAAAAAGACAAGTGGATGTAAAGCCATAAGTCTGCTGCGCCAACGCCTTCGCCCCGTTCTAGACCACGCAAAACAGAGCTCTATAGTTCTCCAACGTATGCTCGATAGAACTATGAAAAAGTTACTCAACTTTTGGGAAGTTTCTCACGCAGGTACGAGACAACAATACAGGGTGAGGTTAGAGTCGAAGAATGCCTGGAATGTGGCTACCCTGGGACACCTATACGATGACGGACCCACTATTGTTTGGGTATTATATATTTCGGGGGTAGCCTCGCCCGTCTTAACCGGTGGTCCGACTTGCTTGGTACTGCCAGGCAGTCTTCGCGAGTCATCGTGATTCAGGTCTTTTTACGATTTGAATTATCATTATTTTATCGAAGTTCATGATAATGAGGACAAAGTGAGACCACTCAGTAATATATGTCTTTAGGGAGAAATAGAACTGGAAATAGGCTTTCCTAAAAAGTATAGCTATTTCAGGACCTACTAAGAAGTGGTAGGTCCATGATAAAACCAAAACTATTCAAAGATGATAGTATTTAAATATTATAAAAGTATACATAAAGCGTCCAATCGTGTATATTGCCAGAATCATTGAATATCTCATTACCAGGCATAGTACAGAATGAGCTGTATGATTGTAAAGTTATATTCGTCAAACCTCAAACCTTAGAGTACACCAATTCAGTTTATATACAAAGAACATCTGTCCTGTAATTATCTCATGGATCACCTTTCGATATTGTCACTGAATAAGTATATTTTACGACTTTCATTTCCTCTTTATTAATGTTATTATTATTATTATTAGTAGTAGTAGTAGTAGTAGTAGTAGTAGTAGTAGTAGTAGTATCATTATTCTCATACCATACTAACCTACATCAGTCTGTGTCATAATAATATGCCAACAAAAGTGATGGCGCAAAATGAAAAAGAATTTCATGCTTTCAATGGCCACAATTTGAACCCAACAATAAACATGTTAGGCCACCCCTAAAAGCTTGGTCACTTATTGTGTAACTCCACAACGGTTTATTGATTAGTAACCAACTGTCCGATACTTGATGTAAACTGTTTCCGGATGAGCCAGATTTGTATCGGTAAACATCCTCATGAATATTCATCCGTAACAATTCCACAAATCGATATGGTTCTCGTTGTCTGCTTCGACGAGTCTCGTAGCCTGAGAAACGATATCTGTTTTCTTTTGTCATGTATTACATTTTAAATGGGAAAAAAAAGAAAAGAAAAAAAAAATGATATTGTAATCATGTTTTATACAATGTCTATGAGGTTTCGCCATGCAATTGTGTTGCACGTTGAAGTATCAAAACAACCTTTTGCGATATTGTTGTGATTCACCATAGTCTGCATTTTTTAGACTACGATATGGTTACGGCGCGAGCGTCACGTTGCCGAAGAACGGTTCGACTGTTTGTAAACAAAACTCAAATTTCTTGGCGCGAAGCCCTGGTGGAGTGGCGTTACCAGTATACAAATTCAAGTTGGTATGTGGTCCCGAAGTAGTCCCGGTGTCTGTATACACCTAGACTGGATCATGACGACCTAAATATCGTTAGGAACGGTCATGTGCTTATGTTATTGTTTGTAGGTGTCTCGTAACATGTAACATTGGATTCCCGCCAAATTTTATGAACTATAATATACCACACGAAGTCATAAGAATGGTATCTAGGTATGTTCTGGGGAAGATTTTGGCATATGATACCGGGACTATAGAAGTGATTTTGAAAATCATAATTACTTTTCATCACCATGCAAAGATTGACGTCAGAAATGTCGCTCATTATTCCAAATTTTGATTGAAATTTTCTCTCATGACCGCCACTGAATTGAAATTTTCTGTGACCTTCATGTCTGTAGTCACGAGTTGAGATGTCTGTAATAGATGTTGTCCCGTGATCGTAACTTCTTATTGGAGGCTACCTCTCGAAGAATGTTCTTCTCATGGCAGATAGCCAGCATAATCGCTGGATAATATACCAGCAATATGTGTGCATGAGAGGTTCTTCTTACAAAATAATACCACGTAATGTTTGAGGAATTACTGGATTTATATTACTGAAATTAATTTTTATGATTTTGACGTCTGACGTGAGCGCTCTCTTCCTTTCTCTCTCTCTCTCTCTCTCTCTCCCCCGGTTTCTGTTCTCAACAACCTCACCATCATCAATTAAACATTAACAAGAAAAGATGGTAGGCCTACATGTATTCTTAATCTATAGAACTGATTTCAAAATGAACATCGCCTCTGACAACCAAAAGCTTGCTATAATACAGTATACCTACGTCATAGCATCTACAATTCGAATTCATCCGCTGAATTAATGACCGTTTTTAAGGGATTCTCGCCAGAGTAATCAACAATTAAAAAAAAAACATGCCAATGTATTCCAATTGAGTTTTAAAAAATATTGATGTTCTAACAACAAAAAGCTTACTATACTAGCTTATACGTCCTCAATTCGATTCAATCCACAATTCGTGATAGATCTCCATGGGTTCTGTAATTATAGCGGCAGTGTATATACTTCTTGAGTTTACAGAACGATAAACCAGTGGCAAACCGATTCTTATCATTATACCTCCCCGGGTATACCTCTTAGTTTTTAAGACAAAAATTATCCTAATCACATAAAAAATCATTTGCACACCTGCACGCAAGTTCTTCAAGCTTGTATATTATATCACTCATCCTGCATGGGGACCTTTTCGAAAAGTGAAATTATTTCGAAGGCATGGCGGGGAAAATAGAATCATATCAAGAAGGTTTGTTTTGTTTCTCTTGCATAATTTGTAAACAAACAAAAAAACCTGGGGTACATCACTCATTAAACCCTGGGCACCTTCTCCGAAAAGACTTGGTAACGGCGGTAACAAAAACGATGCCACAAAGGATGGCATCGCTTTTCTGCACGTAATCACTACATAATGATCATTACAGGCTGGGGGTACATCACTCAGATCCTGGGGACCGGACCCATACAGGTAATAAAAGA